CCCGGGCGTCACGCCCGGGTGCCCGGCCGGGCAGGACCGGCCGGGCGTGAGAATCTTCCTAGGCGTAATGTGCATTTAAATTGTTGGCCTTTCGGCCAGGCTGAGGACTTGGTTTTATTCTGAGGAGAAACAGTCTGGTTCCCTTCGACCCGCATGTCGAAAACAAGGAATAGGTAGAACTGAAAGAGGTCGACAGGGTCAATGCTGTTGGGGAACCATTGTGCTCAAGACTTGTTTTTATCGCATTGTTGCATTGCTGTTGAAGGGACGCTGGACCCGCTTTCCAGCACGTGCTGCTCCACATCAGTAGATGGAGCAACTTGGGGCGCTGCCAGGAGGGTTGCCCATACCACCCCATCTAGCAGTGGGCCACTGTTTTTTCACAAAAAAAAATAAAAATAAAAAATCAGAAAGAAAGAAATAAAGAAAGAGGTTGACACGGCTGCGTTAACAGAGTGTTCAGCTGGGTCTCACTGGGTATCCATACGTTTTCACTGATCTTGAGTGACCCCCCCCCAAAAAAAAGTCTTTATTTTTATTTTCATTTTTTATTTTTATTGTTAAAGTGCAACGGCCTTTAAATATCATCATTGCACTGACCGGCCCCAGGCAATTCAGAATGATTGCACTCTGTTCGTCTGATAGCAGATGGATTCAAACTTGAGTCTGTATTTCAACAGTTCAGGGGTGTACCAACTGAGCTAGGCCCGCCGGTTACCAAAAAAAAAGTTGCATGCGAAAAAAGAAAAGAAAAAGGTTGACAGGGTGGGATAACAGGCCAAGCACCGGAGCTGCCTCTGGCTGGCTAGATGGCCCGGCCGAGCGAAGTCCTGAGCAAGGCCCCACCCAGGTCCCAGGCTGCTTCCCGCATGACATGTCAGCCTATCGGCCTACAAGGTGGGGGGGGGGGTTACCAGCAGGGCACGAAATGCTGTGTGCACTGTCTGTCGTATCTTCCTGAGGTGACCCTCAGCCCACACTGCCAGTTGTTTGCATTGCGATTCTACATAACATGTGTTTTCTTTATATTTTCTTGGGTCGTTGGATTGCCGGGAGGGCAGTGGTGGTTCAAACGCGATCAGCAGCCCCAATGGTTTGATTTCCAAAAGTTTTATGATCCTGGCCAATTTCGAAGCACACATTTCATCAGATAGTACAATGCCGTCCAATTGCAGAAAGAAATGAATGAACTTGAGAGGAGAGAGAGGGTAAGAAGAAGAAGAAGAAGAAGATGATGTACACCAGCGTAGACAAATGATGAAGCTCTTCTTCTTTGCCAATCACTCTCCTCCTCCTTATCTCCTCCTATCTTATTCACACAAGAAGTAATAATACAACGTTGAATGGCTGAATCAGAATCAATGTCCGAATCCCTCTTCTACTGCAGGTATCACTGGAGGTCCACCATAGCCATGACCGCCTCCCTCACTCTTCACTCTCATAGGCCGAGGCTATGGCGGACTACTAGGCCTTGCCCTGATGCCCAAAGGACAACCCAGAGCAGCTATGGCTGCTCTAGCTCAGGCTGCCATGCCTGACTCTGCCTCGAAGCTTCTTGGTGTAGCTCTGCCCCAACGGGGACCTTCCTGGCGCAGCACCCACCAAGGTGATGAAGATGGCTGCCACCATAGCCAGGTAAGTACCWCTGGTGCTCCCCCTTCCTCCTGGTCTTCTTCCTCCTCCGTGTCCTTGCTCCTTCCCCAGCAGCGCTTCTCCAAGCGAGTGCTGCTACAGCCAGCGCTCCAACCAGTGTGTCGCCAAACTTGCACACCGACAATGAGGCTGGGCTCTTTGCCCGGCCTGGAAATATAGCGGCCTGCTTGCCTCTTGGGCGGGGACTTCCTGGCCGTTCGGCCTTCCAAGCAACCGGTACCTCCTCCCTTTCGGAGGGAAACATCATGATTGCAGACTCTGATATTGCCCGTATAGGCCCTAGACTCAGACTGGTTGGACTGGTACCCGCCTAGACCTAGCCTACAACTACTGGGTCTCTAAAAATGCCACTCTTGTATTTTTGTGCTCGGTCTCAAGTACCCGGCACATCTACCTCTTCAGGGTGTGGTACCGGCCTACCTGCTACTTGAGCGTTTCCCCGCTGCTTCAAGTGTTGTGGGCCTCGTCCCCCGCCACTTGAGTGTTTTCCCCTGCTGCAATCCTCAATGTCACGGCCACAGGTAAGTACCGGCCCTCAGGGCCCAACGAACGAACAGGTGCCCTTGCGGGTCACACACACACTCAAGCCAACCAGCACTCAGACAGACATGCAGACCAGCAAGAGTGCACACACACAGACATGCAGAACTTAGTAGCAAGCGGGAAACTCAGCACGGCATTCAGTCCATGAGCAAAACTCAGAAATCAGCTGTGTTTCAGCCGGTGTTTGGTCGGGTCATCACAAAAGAGAATAACTGATCAAGCCTAAATTCAGACCATGTAGTGCGGATTTGAGATTTATACCTCGAGATGGAGTACGGTAGTTATCACAGCAGCTGCAACCCAGTATAGCACGATGCTAGTAACTGTGGCAGTAACTGTGGCAGTAACTCTGGCAGTAACTGTGGAAGTAACTGTGGCAGTAACTGTGCAAGTAACTGTGGCAGTAACTGTGGAAGTACTGTGGCAGTAACTGTGGCAGTAACTGTGGAAGTAACTATGGCAGTAACTGTGGCATTAACTGTGGCAGTAACTGTGGCAGTAACTGTGGCAGTAACTGTGGTGGCAACACCACTGTAGTCACTGCTCTCAAGCTAGAAGCCTTAGTAGCTGACTGCGTGGTCAGTATTGTTGTTTCTGTAACTGTAGTTACTGCAGTCAATGGGATTTCTGTAGTCACTCTGATCACTGTAGTAACAATATTGTCACAGTAAAAACTGTAGCAATGGCAGCACTACAGTATTGACAGTAACTACAGCACTGGAGCCATGATTGCAGTTAGAGTGCATTCACATTGGAAGCACTGGAGCCATTGCAGTTAAGAACTTAAGAGAGCATTTACATTGGCTGCAATGCAATGCATCTCAATGCTTTTCACAGGATTTTTGCCGCATTATCGCTGCATTTTGGGTGCGATTTCGCTTCATTTACCCTGTATTTTACTCTGCATTTTTGCTGCAACTTTGCTACACTTTCGCTGCACTTTTGCAGCATTTTTGGAAATTTTCGCCCATTTTCACTGCATGCATTTTTGGCTGCATTTTCATTTTTTCACTGCATTTCCTCTGCATTTTGGCTACATTTTCAGTGCACATACATTGGATTTTTGCTGCATTCTGCTGCATTTTTGCTGCATTATCGCCGCAGTTGGGCTTCATTTTGCCGCATTTTTGCTGCATTGTCGCTGCATTGGGGCTTCATTTTTTTCGCTGCAATTTCTTTTCATGTACCCCGCATTTCTGCTTCATTCATTCTCTGCATTCTCACTCTGGATTTTTCTGCATATTTGTTTCATTTTTGCTCAATTTTGACTGCAATTTTTGCCGTATTTTCACTGCATTTTCACTTCGACTACCCTGCTTTTGCCCTGCATTCGCCCTGAATTTACCCTACATTTCGCCTTCATTTACCCTAAATTTAACCTGCAATTATTCTGCAACTGTAGCTGGGCGGCAGTTACCCTGCAGTTTGATGCTAGTTACTCCGTAGTAACCCTGTAGTTACTGTAGCTTCCCTGTAGTTACTCTGTGATTACCCTGCAGCTACCCTTTGTTACCCTGTAGTAAGCTGGCAGGCATCCTGTAGTTACACCAGTTACGCTCTAAAATGATATACTGGTACCACAATACAAAAGGGAGAATTGTCGACCATATTTACTGTTATGAACTTATGATGGCATCACAATCGGAAAAACTTTTAACCGGGAGTCATTTCGCAACACGCCTTCAAATCCGGGATGAAGAGTGAAAATGGGAAAGAAAAGTTAGGCAAAACCCCATTAAGACCCTTTATAGACCCCTCACGGTGACCTCGCTCTGACTGAACCAGGAGCACCAAAGTGAAAGGATAGTCAGGTCCTAACTTCCCAGAATGAGTGCAGATCAGACCATGAGCCTTTTTTTTTTTTTTTTTTTTGTTTTGAACTCCCCCTTTCCGAGTTTCAACCTGTTTTTACCAGTGTTGTTTCTCAGGTGGGTGAGACTGGCATGCCTGCTTGCTTGGCCTTTCATGCCTGACTGTTACAGATTTTGTCGCTTAGAGAAAAAAGGATCTTGAACTCGAAAGTCACAAGGTTAAATAATTGAAGACTGAAGCATCGGAGAAGAACTTGGAAAAGAAACGAAGTTTCTGGAGTGATTAATCCGCCTTCACAAGGTCGCACATGGAAAAGCATAGCAAACGTATGTAGAATTATGGCATGACCCTGTTTTCTTTTACCAGCAGTGCGGAGCTCTGTAATGGAGCCCCATGTGACTGTGAACCGCATGGTCTACATTGGGAGAACAGGGAATGCGTAAAGAGCTGGAGGAGACCGGGGGTGAGGAGGACCCATCATGGAGGAGGAAAGCCAGTGCTAACCTGGTCCTGGGGGATCAGGTGCACTGTGCTCCAGGGGATGAGCACTGACTGCTGTGACCTGAAATACAACAACTTTGAATGACACTGTACCTCA